AACAAGTTATCCTGCTATTTTTTTTCTTTGCCTCCTCATTTTACTACTTTTAACATCATGTTTCTGATTGAATTCTAGTTTGACTGTGTATGAAACTATATTGGAAGGTGCTGGGGTTATAGTTTTCTGTAAATTATGACGAGTTTATATCTGTTTTGTAATAGCCTGAATTATAACTTTTCTTTTCTTTTATTCAAACTATATATAGAGCTTGCTGTCTTTGGAGCCTCCATGGCTGGAGCAAGTGTGGGGTTTCTTTTCCACAATCGATACAAGGCTTCTATACTCTTAGGTGATGTAGGGTCATTGGGATTGGGTGGAGCACTTTCGGTGATGGCTGCTTGCACGGGGATGTTTTTTCCTTTATTTATATCCTCCAGTGTTTTTATTCTTGAAGGATTGTCTGTGGTACTTCAGGTATGATTTTGCAAACAAATACTTTCCCATGTAATTATTAACTGTTGCGGAAGAAAGCAAAAACCTTCACTACTAAATAAACCATCCAAGAACTTGGCAAAGAAGGTTTCGAAGGATGACATCAAATATTCTGTCGAAGTAATCGCTGCTGATGATTTTCTTTCCTACTTATATCCGCTTTAGTCTTTCTTACTTATTTATAAACCGTCCAAGATTTTTGTTTTCTTTTTTTCCTCTTCAGTTGTTTGCTTATTAATCTACTCGATTTCTATTGCCTGCTTATTAATCCATGGACCATTATAATTATTCTATAAATACTATTTGCCTGCTCATCAATCCATGGACTATTATAATTATTTTGTAATTGTTATTCATTGATTTTATATGTTCCTATTGAATGCTCTCATAGGATTATATAAATACTAGAGAAATATTGGAATGAAATAATCAACTATTTCTCTCCAATTCTTATCATGGGTTTGGAGTTTTGGCTTTTTCTCTTGATTTCCATTATAGCAGCATTCATTGGCATATTATCATAATATTTTGGCTTTTGTCGCGGCACTCTTTTCTTTTTCCTCTGTTGTTCTATAAATGAAGCTTTCATGGTTGCATTAGCACAGATATTTCCCGTTGTTGCGGCCTTCATTGCTTCATTATTGCAAATTGATTCTATTTTTATAGCCTTCATCACTGTATGTTAATCAATCAAGCTACACCCTTACATATTTCACACCTAAACTTTCATATTTACACACAGCATTCAAATCCTTAAAAAATAGCACTTTTATCACTTTTTAAAAGTGAATACACCTTTTCATGCATAAGTTTAAAACACCAAAGTGGTATGTATGTACAAGGTATGATAAAAATAAGATGTAAGCTTAGGTGTGATGTGATATATGTAATACATAAGAATTGTGTGCTACATATGTAAATTTTTCATTTATTGGAACTACTGAAAGGGGCGACAATCAAACAATTGGTAATCTGATAACAATGAAAAATATGAGTTGAGGTTTTATTGGAAACTTTTATACTTGAGTGAGAGTTGAAAAATGGATAAAAGAGGGTGTTTTTTGTAAATAGCTAATTTTTTAGTGCTATGCATGTATTTGTCCCATAGTAAAAGTGATGATGGCTACACCTGAACTAGTTTCATTGCATATTTGTTATTCTTCATCCACCATGAAAAATGTTGAACTATGAATTTTCTGAATCGAGAAGAACCTTTTGCATGTTTTCAGGTTATTGTTCTGAAAACTATAATTCGTCGAAAAGGGGTTGCCAGACTCGTCTCCCGTGTAGCCCCTCTGCACCAACAACTAAAGCTATTCGGATTAAAAGTACCCTTCATTGTCGCGAGTGCGTACGTTGTGTCGAGCTTCTTGGCTATATTTGCTGGATATGTTGGCTTAGTTTCGGCTTGAGTTATAGAGCTCCATTTCCACATCTTATGGTAGCACTCATATAGCAGAGGGCTCGCTACATAATCGGCTACATGATTGGCTACATAATCAGTCACAGGTGCGCTTGCAACTTTATTCATCTGTTGTTTTTCAAATTGATTTTTTTTGGCGAAAAAAAGCCTCATAATAATCATTTTTTGTAAGCAAATTATATGAAACTTGACTTATTCCTGAGTCCTGACCTTTTTGGATTATATTCATTATAAATCAAATTCATTTTTGTATGGGTATTTGCATACATACACCCATGTATTTGCATTTCTTAGCACTTAAATAAATTTTGCTTTTTGCATTCTTACCACGCAAATCTCACATATGACATAAAAAGTATCACTATTATAACTTTTAAATTGTGAAATATGCCCTTTTCATGCATAGGTAAGGTGGTCTGTATGTACAAAATGAAGTTTAGGTGTTAGATGTGTAAATACAAAAGTATTGAGTGTTATTTGTAAATCTTCCTTTTTTCAGTAACACAGCAGATCGAAGGCAAATGAATTTAGTGTTTATGTTACCTTAATGAAGTAGATTTATAACAATTTCCAAAAATTAATCTGGCATAATCAATACATTATTATGCATTTCTGTTGAGGCTATTAACTAATTTTTCTTATAGCTATTGTGGATTTGAATGAAAAGTTGCCTAGATTGTATTATTAATTGCATATGAATATGACATATAGTCCTCTACATCTTTTACTAATATAAAACTAGCCCTTTTTCTTATATATTTATTTTCCATTTTTGTTGTATTTAAATAATAAAAAATTTGAATATTTAGTGATTTGAATAGATAATAATAAACAAATTATTGAAAGAAAAGAGGAAATGTTATCCTATAACAAACAAAAAGCTATTTTTTTTATGAAAATATTCATTAAAATAGCCCTCAAATCCATCAAAAACAAATATTGAAGCAATATTGCATGAAAAAATTTACATAGAAAATTCATTTGAGCAAAACAAACTTCATAAAAAAGAAAAATGATATTTGATGAAAGTTCATACCAATATATCTCTACTAGTAGAAATATGTTGATCATCACATAACCAACCCCTAAAATTTTACATAACACTAATATTTAATATCTCAAAAAAACATCACTATCATTAGCTTTTTGAATGTGAAGTACATATTTTCTTGCATAGGTTTATGACACCAAAATGTTATAAATGTTAATAACTAACAACATTTTTTGCATACGTTCATGTGCATCTTTTCCCTTATAAAACCTCTTTTTTAAGAGTCTGTATTCAAGACATGTTAGTTAACATTTTTATTTCTTCTTTTATAATCCATTGATGTTATTTATAACAAAATATGTAAGAATAAAATGATGAAAATTTATCCATTATATGAGCTTTACAAGTATTTCTCACTTGAGAAAATCACCTTCTTGATAACTACTGGTTATTCATAACTAAGAAGTTTCAAAAACTCATTAACATAATCTATAAAAAAACATAACATATAACATGTCAAATCACTAGTTATTATGATTTTAAACGTTATAATTCTAAGATGGTTTGTTGTAGAGTTGACTAAATAGGTTATCCTGTTACTAGTTGCTGAGTATAAGATGCAGATTATGAGCTTTCGAGTATGAGTTGAAGAATACGAGCTGTGAAGTACATTAGTTGAATGCTTAGTACTGACATGGACGACATTTGCCACCTGTATGCTTTATTGTTTATGTATTGTTTAGTACATAGCTTTTGCAGTAGTGCTGGAGGCTCCAGATTCATTTATTAATATAAAATCTTGGGGAGAGTTGAAGCCTGAAGGTGACTCTCTGTCTGGGCCTTGAGTGCATCTCTCTAGGGATTCTTTTTTCCTTCTCTCTCTCTCTTCTTGCTTACTTATTATTATTAGATTTGACTTATGTTAAGAAAAGACAGAGGTAGACATAGAAGACTTTACATAGAAAACTTTGGCTTATTATATAAAAAATGATCTTAATTTATTAGAACTAAATGAAACTATAACACTAAATATGACACAATGGAGAAAAAATGATTTATGTAGCCGACCCCACGTAGGGGGATTAAGGCTTTGTTGTTGTTGTTATTAGAGTTTTGGGTAAGTCCATGTAACCAGATCAAAATATCTATAAAATGGCACTCAAGGAACTCTCCCTCGTAGGCAAGTTTCCCAAGAGTGGAAGGGATATTGCCTAATATTGCGCCTACCCGGACTAAAAATTGAATTTTAGTGCCAACTATAGATAAACCTTTTCCGAAGTCTGATTTGGTCAACTAGTAGGAGTCGGTTAACCTAGAAATTAAAGATCATAGGATCTCATACTAAGTAGAATTAAAAAGTTATGATGACTATTCCCTATAGCAGAGTTATGGTCTCCAGACGAAGGATAGTCTGAAGTTAACGAGATCTTCTGAATTCTCTTGTAATTGAGTTATATTGCAAAAAAAACAAAAAGAACAATCTAGTCGCATAAAAGGTGGAAATTTTTTATAGAAAATTTGAGTTTGTAATACTTGAGTAACTCGTCCTTTAAGGCGAATTTGTGTAAATATATATGCATATAATAATAATCAAATAATAACAATACAACAAAACAATCACTTTGTATAACCTTGACATAAGGCTGAGTTTACAAGTGCGAGATTACTTCGAGAAGGGGAGCCAAAAACCTTCGAGGATAGAATCTTCTAGATGCAACTAAAGTGCCATGTGATGAAATTTTGTAAGGAAGCTAAAGCCACCACTTATATTTTACTTCAAAATTTCCTTTTTTTTAAAAAAAAGAAACATCTAATGAATTCACAATCTACAAAATAAAATTATCATAGTACAACTTCTATCATTGGTTAACTCATACTTTTTTCTAAAAAAAGAAACATCTAATGAATTCACAATCTCCAAAATAAAATAATCATAGAACAACTTCTATCATTGATTAACTCATACTTAAGAGCCCGGTTATTTGACAATTATGGTGGCTATATGCAACATAATAATATTATTGATGTAATGGGATATTGTTAAGAAGAATTGTTATTAACTTCGCTTGTGTATGTTGACCTTACAATTAGGCCAACGACAGAGTTTGAATTCATCCTATAGAGACGAGCAATGTATAAGTCTCATTACAAAGTAGCGAATACAATTTTCTCGTTCTCTTATTCTTTTCACAGTTGTTTTTCAGAAGTACGCGATAATTCAATAACTAATTATATACCTCTAAGACGATTTCTCGAGTGCACTAACAAGTTATCCTGCTAACCTGCCAGGGACTATACAATACTTGTTGTTGAGTATGAATTGTCGAGTACGAGCTGATGAATACAAGCTATCGGGTCTTTTATTGAATACCAACTATTAACACAAATGAGAGTAGCCAAAAATCACTGTATTTGTTGAAAAAAGATGAAAAAAATTCTTAATTAGGAATATACTATTCATTATTACAATTCAAGCTAAACAGACTTCAAAGAACTTGCACCGTATAAAAACATACATATTTAAGACTTAATTTCTCTTATTTATATAAATAACATTAAAATATTTAATATTGTATTAAAAATAATATCATTCTTTTATTTTTTAAAGTGAAATATATCTTTTTATTTATGGTTTATGGTATTAAATTGTTATAATTATAATATGAAAATTTAATTGGTAGATATGTAAATACATAAGAAGTGTATATAAATTTTTGAATTAAATATTTTACTCGTAAATTTTATTTTATTTTATTGTAAAAATCTCTGAAAAATTTATTATTTATTATTATTATTTTTCAAATAAAAATTTAAAAATAATTATGATGGAGAAAATAATCTCTTAAAAAGTTGCAGTGGGAATTACATAACACTTTTTTACAGCAACTACACTGTAATAGTTTAGGTTGAAAAAAGACGGTTTCTCGTCACAAAAATTTCTAGAAAGTAACAATAAATCAGTTCTTCAAACAGAACAATGGTTACGGTCTGAAATGCAAAGCATGTAGACAACTGTCCCAAACAGACTCAGGGTCCGTTTGGGGCAGCTTGTGCGTTTCAGGATAAGCTGCTTATCCTGAAACGCGGCCCGCGGGTTGGCTGCGGGGGTCGACCCGCGACCTGCATTTAGTGTAAAAATCAAAATGCAGTTTCGGATAAGCTGACGAAATGTGCGAACTAAACGGTACGACGGTGTTTTGAAAATGTCGCCCGCACTTATATGCTGCCCCAAATGGACCCTCAAACTCATCCTTATCGTAAGGCAATTGGTCCCAATTCTTCATGGGACAACAATGATTACCTTGGAGCTTGCCATGTCTGTCAATGAAAATGGTGTTAGTAGTTTAGGGTTTAGTTACAAGCCATGACCACGCTATTAGATGTATCCTGTGTGAATCTTTCATGACGAAACTCATCATCAGTTGTAATGTCTTTGTTTGGCTCGTTTGCTCTAGTGAGACATCACATACTTATTATTACGCTCCTCAAAAGCTATATGATGAAGAACATTCTTAACGAAAAAAGTTGTCGTGGATGAGGTTTTAAGTGATGCGGTGAAATCAACTAAACCTCATAATTAGATCTCGTCAAATGAACAAATTCAAAAACTTTTCATTTGGTTTTGATTCAAGTAGAAACATCATATAAACACAAATTATCATGTATAGACTTATGACAACAAGATGTTGTAAGTGTAAATATCAAATTTTGGGTGTTAGTACGTAAATACATAAGAATTATGTGGTATGTATGTAAATTCTCATTTTTTGAAAAAAATTATGAATTGAGTGGTACAACATCTCTCATCATGAACATGCATGAAGTTGACTCTCCAACTTCTCTTAAATTTAATTATTAATACTAATTAAATTGTTAAAAAAAAATTGAAAAATTCCTAATATTTTAATTCATGTTAAGAAGATTTGCATACATACCACTCAATTCTAGATATTTACATATCGAGCACTTAAAACTTCATTTTCTTACATATATATCACCTGAGCAATGTATGAAAAATAAGCATTTCGTAAAACAGTGATATTTTTTATGTGATATGAAAGATTTCGGTGGTATAAATGTAAAAAGTAAAGGTTAGTGATGAAAGATTTCGGTGGTATAAATGTAAAAAACAAATGTTAGTGGTTGGATATGTAAATATATAGGAATTGGGTGGCATGCATGTGAATGCCTCTAATAGAAAATTAGTAGAACTCTTTTA